CCGTGCATCTGGCACTGCTGGGCGGATTCCTGGGGCAGTCCCGGGGCGTTCTGCGCGAGCCACTGGGCCACGGGCACCCCCGTGTAGTTCCAGGGCACGGAGGCCCCCAGGCCGCAAGGCACGAACTGGCTTTGGCTGAAGTCGTAGCAGGTGAAAGGCATCTTGTTGAAGAAAAGGACCCAGTTCTGTTCGAGGACGCCGCCGTCGGCCGAGAGCAGGCTGTCCGTCTCCAGGTGCAGCACGAAGGCACCTGCGCCGGGGGGGGGGAGGAGGCGGGGGGAGAAACGGAGATCAGGGGGTGTCTGCCAGGAAGCCCCCTCCCCAGGCAAAGAAGCTGAATGGCTGCAGGGGTCCTGAGATGGTGGCACTCCAGAGGCAGGGAGTTCCGCGGTCCCGCAGCCCGGAGACAGACAGACAGGCAGGCAGGTAGACAGAAAGGCAGACAGACACACACACACAGACACACACAGAGAGACACACATACAGACACACAGAGACACACAGAGAGACACAGACATATACACAGACATACACACAGATACAGAGACACACAGACACACACAAACACACAGAGACAGACAGACACACATAAGCACAAAGACACACACACACACACACAGTCCTCCGGGAGAAGGGCGGGGTATAAATTTAATAAAACTAAACTAAAACTAAACACATACAGAGACACACATACGCAGAGAGAGACACACTAGACATACAGACATAGACACATGCAAACACACAGAGACACACACACACCGAGACACACACAGAGAGAGACACACATAAACACAGAGAGAGACACACTAGACATACACACAGACATACACACAGACACAGAGACATAGACACACACAAACACACACAGAGAGACACAGACACAGACACAGACACACACACAAACACAAAGACAGACAGACAGACAGACACACACACACACACACACACAAACCCTCGCTCCCTTCTTCCGGGGAATGCCCAGCCGACGCCTAGCCCAGAAAAGCGAAGCCGCCCCGCGCGCCGTGGAGGATGGGAACCGTAACCCAAGGCGGAAACGGCCAGCAAACGGGAGCGGCTCCCGTTGCCTCGGCGCGCGGCGTTCAACAGGGAAGCGAAAGCGGGGCAGGGGAAGCGGGGCCCGTCGGAACAACTCGGTGGCCCAGGGGAAGCGCTCTTCGCATGCCCAGAAGACCCCCTCCTCCCCCCACACCCGCCCACCCCTTTGGGTCCTCCCGACTCCAACCTGCTCGCGGCCTAACCGAAGTCCCCGGGAACCCCCTTAGGGCCGTCTGGGGAGATCTTCCGACGGCTGGAAGGGACGGCTAGACTGCCGCCGGGCCTGGAGGCTCTACCTGGGCCCCCCTGCTGCACCTGGCTGGGGAACCGGCGCCCCTTCGCGGCGGCTGAGCGGAGAGGAGACCCCCCCCCGTTCCCCAGTGAGCCCCCTCCCTCCTCGGGGCGGGAGGGGTCCCGGGGGGGGGCTCACCTGCCGGCGGGGCGCTGAGCGCCAGGACGAGCAGCAGCAGCAGCAGCCCCGGAGGCGGCATCTGGGCGGGCGGGAGGTCCGTCCGGCCTGGCGGGCGCTGGGGAAGGGCTGCGCGCGGAGCGGACCCCGGAGCGGGACTGGCGCGCCCTCCTCCGCTCCCGCCCCGGGCCCGGCCCCCTCCCACGGCGGGCGCCCAATGGGAAAAGCGGACGCCGGCGCGTCATCAGTCGCTGGGGAAAGCCGAGCCGTCCGAGGGCCGGAACGGGAGATTGGCCCCAGGGACAATGGACGGGGCTTGGGAGGGACCCCCGAGGTCCTCTAGTCGTGACCCTCCGCCCATTGCAGACCGAACGGCTGCCCCGTCTTTTCTTGGGGAAAAAAAAAACCTCCCGCGTTAGACCGGCCACTTGCTTCTGGTGGCAAGGCGTTCCCCTGGCTAATTTTCCTGGCGGCTGGGACGTTTCTCCCGAATCCCCAGCTCGCTTCTCTCTCTGGTTCTTTTCCGACCGTTTCGCAGCCGCTTTGGAGTAGAGGCTGA